GAAGTCTGAAAGATACCTTCCATAGCAGCTGTGAAAGTGGTAGTCAGATACGCCTGGCCAAAGACAGAGCCTGTCTCTAGAAAGTTATCAGTCACCCAGACCACACTGGATAAAAACACAAATCTGTACACAGGCACATGTGGACCTGCTCCACACACAGAGAGGTCCTGACAATCAAGCCTGGCAATGTGCATTTACAGGTGTCCAACTGGATTGCTACGGAGATGAATTATGAAGGAGAGAAGATTAGATTAGACATATTTGTGTGCCCACACAGAGCCCCATAGACTTGGCACTTACTTACTGTACAATAAAACTACAAAAGCAAAAAAAAAAATGCAAAGACCAAGAAAGAAGTGCTGGTGACTCCCCACCTCAGAATGTCAGGCTGCCAGGAGAGATCTCTATATGGCGCAGCCCAGGGAAGAATCCATTCATTGATTGTCCTAATGACCCCAGTCTATTACAAGTGCAGAGGAATGTGCCTGGTAAAGTTACAAATCTACTCCCCAATTTCTGGGCTGAGCCTGGGGTGGAAACAGGCAGGAGTGAGGGCCATATTCCAGGTCTCTAAGTTGGAAAAGAAAATTGAAAGCTTGGCCCCTGTGTCTGCTCTATCCATGATCAGGTTTGAGGTGCCTCTCAGTGCCTTTTGTAGGTCGGTCTGTGGGTCTCAGTCTCTGCCTCTCAGTTTCTCGCTGCTCAGTCTGTCCATCTTTCTCTGCCTCTTCAGCTCTCACACTATTCTGTAGTATACAGCCACAAAGAATGAGAAACAACTGGATCCAGGAACAAATATAAATATAAATGCACATCATAGATTCAGAAATTATTGGCTCTAAAGTCCCTCTGGTTTGCTGGTGTGTGTGTGTGTGTGTATTCCATTTTGGGGGTACAAGTCTAAGTACAGCCTTGAAGTTGTTTCCTCCTAGTCTTTTGGCTCTGCCTGACCGGTTATCTGATTCTGTATTCATTTCTTTCAGGAACATTTCTTCTTTTCTTTTCCTTTTTCTATTTTTGATACTAGGAATTGAATGCAGAGATGCTTTACCACTGAGTTTCATCCCTAGCCCTTTTTACTTTATATTTTGAGACAGGGTCTCGTTAAATTGCTTAGGGCCTTACTTAGTTGCTGAGGCTGACTTGTGATCCTCCTGTCTCAGCCTCCAGAGTCACTGGGATTACAGGTGTGCACTACCACCTCTGGCACATATCTTCTTCATTCTAACACAACCCTCAAGACCTTTGGACCTCCCCTGGTTTAAAAAACCCTCCTTCTCCCCAATATTACCTTCTTTGGAGTTTGCCTCGAGTGCACAAATCTTTTTTTATTATTATTATTATTTTTTAGGCAGAGATAGCAACATCACAAACAGGAACTTGGAGACATTTGAAACACAGATGCAGGTATCTCTAGGAACATAAAAAAGGCTTTGGGGTGAGCCAGACAGAAATACTCCCCTAATCCAGTTGGGGGCTGGAGACTTCTTGTGAGCAGGGTAGAGGCAAGATCAGAATGGAGCTGTGGAATCCCCCTAGCTGTTCTGGGGCCAGCAGAATTCTACCCAGTGAGGCAGAGGCAGGGGAACACAACTCAGTAGAGCAAGCCCTGAGAAGGAAAGATGGGGGGACATGGGGAGGGGACCAATGAATCCTGCAAAGTTTCCAGCTTCCCATCCATGTATCTGGTAGGGACAGGATAAGGGCCCAGGGAGGACTCCTTAGAGGCCAAGGTGTCCAGAGAGATCCCACCAGAGAGTCCAGGACTGACTCTGTACCATCCCCTGGGGAAGAGAAGGGGCTCTAGGACCTTGAGTTTGTGCTCACGTACTAGTTAGAATGAAGGAATTCGCCAAAAGCCGTGGCTTGGGGTTTCCTGACCATTTTTTAGGTGGTGGAACAAGGGGGAAGGGTTTGCTAATGTGGAGGTGCCTCAGCCTCTAGGTCCGGGGGCTGGGAAGGTCTGGGTGCCCATGCTGGCCCCCAGCCCAGTGACCCTGATCAGCTCATCCTTCCACCCCCCTCATCAACAGATCCTTGTTTTCACGCCAGATCTGGAGTCTTTGTGCCTGGCTCCGTGTGAATTTGCGACTCCTCTGTCCCTGGCGGCTCCCCCGCTCCCCAGGAACGGTGGTCCTGTCTCCCTGGTCTCTGTCTTTGCTTCGCAGCTTTTCTGGCTTCATCTGTCTCTGTTTTCAGGTCTCTGTCTCTCCATAACACCCCCTCCCCCTTTGTTAATTCAAAGGCTTCTCACTGAGCCCCTCCCCGCTCTTCCCAGAATAACATTGAGTAAAATGAGATAAAAACGCCCGCCCGCCTGCCACCCGCCCGTGGTTTTTTTTTTTTCCCTGTCCTACTCCCCTCAGCCCCCTCCCCCAGGGCTACAACCCCCTCTTATAATGTCAGATAATTGCTGGTGTGCAGCTCGGAGGAGCCAGAGCTGGTACCAGGGAAGGAGAAAGGGGGAGAGAAATAAATAATAATCTGCCTCCATTCAGCGTATATAGGTTACCTGATTTGCATATATGCTAATAATGCTATAATTATCCTGCTGTTCTGGCCTATGATCAAGTTCTATAAATACATAGGATAGAGAAGCTAGGCCCAGCAACACCACCCCCCAAATTACCCAGCATATGTATGTATCTGCGTGCATTTGTGGTAGCTTCTCTTTGTTGCCACACACACTGCCTTATGGATCCTGGCTCTTCGCTGTCCTCCTGGTGGGTGCAGGCGATTCCAAGGGAGGAGCACTGGGAAAACATTCCAGTTGTAGGAATTCTTCGTATTCATTTCATTGTGAACGGGATGGCTATTTTTAAGAAGATCAAACATTTTCCCCAAATTATTGAATGAGTTGTTACCACCTGAGTGCCCCCACCCCCCACAGGCCCCCACTATGGGGGTACGGGGAGAGGGAAGAGGAAGCCCCCCATATCTTCAGCCTATTGAGATGTTTCAGAAGGTGCTGTCAGGAAAGAGGAAGTGGATTCGCCTTGCCTAAATCTATCTCAGCCTCCTAGCTTGCACCCCACTCCGCAGGAAACCGGGGCAAGATGCACAGGGGGTGTGCGGTTTTTTGGGTGATGGTGGCAGAAGCGGGGAGGAGGCTCGGAGGAACATAAAAGATGCAATCCACAGCTGTCTGCTTTTAATTATAATTATCCCCTTTTGCTTCCTTTCTGGCTAATGAGGGGGGAATTTAAATTTTCCCCCCTTTTCTCCCCCTCCCTCCTTTCCCTGGAATTGAGGGGTGGGGTGAGTTCAGGGTCCTCCTCCCCTTCCTCTCCTAGCCCCTGCTTACTGGGAGAAAGGCAGACTCCAGAGGGTAGTGACAGTATGAAGAGATTTGTAGGAACAAAAGAAGGACAGGTTTGGATTGCTGGACACGTCCCAGAGTTGGAGAGACCCCCCCATTCCACGGGCACCCCCTCCCACCCACCCCCCAGCTCCCTAGACAAGGAACTCAATGTCTTCCAGCCGGTGAGAAAGGGGCTAACAGGAGCCCTGGTCTACAGGGAAGGGGGAGGGCAGGGGTGGGGAGCTGGGGGGGGTGCAAAATTAGTCTCAAAGGATCTTTATTTCTGAGCTAGTGAAGCAGATGTAATCAAGGAGAGAGCAAAATGATCATAATGGGAAGAATGGGGGGAGGGCGAAGCGGGGCTGGAATGGGGGGACTGGGCCTGGACAGAGCTGAGAATTGGGGGGCAGGGAACTTTGAGTGGGGGAGTCTGTTGCCTTCTCTCGCCCCTCTAGAGCCTCCTTACTTTGAGTTGTGGAAAGAAGGACCAGGTCCGCAGACTCTGACCTCGGTCCTCAGAAGCCCTCAATTGGAGCTTAGGGATGGCTGGGCCAGAAGGTGCCTGCGAAGGCACTAGGGAGAAGAGAGGCCCCCCCATCCCACCCCCAGTTGAGGGAGGTAGTGAGGAGAGGGGAGACTGAAAGCAGTGGGGGAGGGTGAGAGAGGGGAGCCAGCGGAGACTCAAGTGGCCTCCAGGTCTGTGGGACAAAAGTTGGAGGGAGATTTGTGTGTGAGAGAGAAGGGGAGGGGGCCGTGGGGAAGGGGGGGCTTTGACAATGAACTTGAGACAAACTTCATTAGCATGCAGGCCTGCTGTCTGTCACGTCGAGCTCAGACCGAGTTCCCATGCAGGCCAGGAAGAGTGGGAGGGAGAAAGGGAGGGGTTGAGGGTGGGGGTGAGAGAGAGAAAAAGAGACCCGACCATTGTACCATTCTGGGCCCCCAGCTTCCACCAAACATCGGGACCCCAGCCCTGGAAACCAACCCCCAAATCGCTCTCCCTCCTCGGAGAGCAGGATAATTTATCTCTCACTTGAGTCTGTGGTCCCACCCCTCCTGTTCTGTCTAGACTTCCAAGTGCTGGCCATCCCCCCTCCAGCTCTCGGCCTTCACCTTCCAATTGTCACTTTCTCCTTCACAGCCACGATCTGGGTTTTCCATTAATTCAGCTGACAGTGTTAGGGGCCCGGAGGAGCTTTGGAAAGGGGGCGCTGGAATACCCCAAACCTCCAAGTGGCTAACTGTGCCCTCTTTCTGGGACTCCTTACCAACTCTGCTCCCCACCCCACAGCCTCACGTCATGGAATCACTCTCTCAAGTTCAAAAGCAAATGAAAACTTGGAAGCACCCAGGGATAGGGGTACTTCTGTCACACCCTTTCTCTTGTTTCCTTTGGGGACAAGGGTGGCCTGGAGGAACAATAGCGTCCCTTAGCCCCTTCTTCCTTCTTCAGGTTAGAAAAGGCACCAGAGGGAGGTGAGGGAAACAGCACACATGACAAAGACCCCCTTCTCACTCGGGCATGAAAGGGGAAAAGGAGGGGGGAGCTTCATGAGAATGGGCTGTTATTTTGGTGGTGACGGTGTCTCCAGCTAGGGGCAGCACCCCCTTTTTGCTGCCTTTCCAGGGAGAGCAGCAAGAAAAAGAAAGAGAGAGAGGCAAGCGAAATTCCTGAATGGATAGACAGATGCTACGTCACGGGAGCCGCATCCTCCACTCCACAAGAGGCTGGGAGCAGGGGGGAGACGGGCAGTCCAGCCGCAGGGGCCACCCGTGCAGCCTCTCCTCTTCACAGAAGCAGGGTAAGTGGCCACTGGGGTCCAGAGAGGATCCTAGCTCCCTCAGACATCTGGACTGGGGGTGGCAAGACAGCCCCTCAGCTGAGTCAAAGCACCATAAGCTTCCTACTTTGCCTCCTGGCTAATGGAGTCTGGTGCAACCATCACAGGAAGAAAAGGCTGATGAAAGATTGAGGGGGTCCCCAGAAGGGACGAGGCATGTAAGCGGAGGAGGAGTTGGAGAGTGGGGTTTCACCTCCCGGCTTCCTGGGCATCCATCACTGAGCTGAAGGCAGTGGCCCTTCCCAACCGCCCAGAGCGCCTCTTGGTCCCCCTCCTTCCCCCAGCCCCTGCCAGCCCAGACAGCTCACTAAGTTTGTCAATGGGATTGGGGGGGACTTTAGGGTCACGGTGCTACTGATCCTATTAATCCGCCCCTCCCTTTTCTCCACCAGACATGGCCAACATCTTAATGCTCAGAGCAGAGGCAGGAAGATTGTAGTGCAGACGGGAGGGAAGAGAAAAATGGTTCTGTGTGTGGACTCCTGACCTTCTTTCCTCGCCCCTGGCTCGTATTCTTCTCTGCCCCAGAGACTGCAGGTTTCAGGGGAAGAAAAAGTCCAGGGACTTGGAGGTGGGGGAGGAAAAGGAGCCCGGTTTCCAGGAAGGTAGAAACCAGAATTGGGGGAAAAAACCCAAATATTTTTTAGATTTAGATTCATTTTAGATTGAGATTGATTTCATTCCCCTTCTTCACCTGCCCCTTTCCTATGAGCTGGCAGGTAGGAAAGGGGCTGAGAGTAGCTTAAAGGCAAGCAAGGTTGGGGGACAGATGCTTGGGTTCTAGAAGTGGGGAGAACCCACTTCAAAACCCTCCAGATCCATTGAATGGAGGTGTCTTGTCTTTTTGATGTTATTAAAAGGAGGATTAGGGACATAGAAAGATGGCACTACCCTGAGCCTAGTCCCCACCTACTGTTCTTTCTGGGACATAGGCTGGGATCATTGTGGGGCAGGGGAAGTCAGAACAGAGCCGACCATGCCTGGTGCCCCAGAGGCCAGAGTGCTGGGAGAGGCCGAGGCTGCCAGCCGGCTGTATGCCGTGCGTGCTGGGCTGTGTTCCTTATCATCACGTTCCCCTGGGCATAGTGTGTGCCTTGTGGCCACATGGGAGAGCAGGGGTCAGTGAGGAGAGATCCAATGGCCCCAGGGACCCCAGAACTCTCACTGATAGTGGAAGAAGGAGCCAGAGGTCCCCCAGCTGCCTGTCCTTGTGCCTGTTTTTTGGCAGGTCAGCAAATCGGCATGGGGCGGGGTGGCCCGTCTTTGGTGTGAAGCTAACAGTTTTGGACTGATACCTCCCTTTCTAAAATGGATGGGCTGCCGGTTCCGAGACACGTCGGTGGGGTTCAAGTGAGGATTTGTGGGTGTGAGAACTGGGGAGAGGCATTCAAAGCACTCCTCCTAGAAATCAGGCTTGGATTTAAGCTTGTTCCTGTTCCATAGTATCTTTTATCGCCCGCCCCCCCCAACTTCCTCTGCATGTAGGTAGGTTATCTTCTGAGTTAAAAAAAAAAGAAGAAGGAAAAAAAATAGTTGAGGAATTGAATTTGAGATAGAAGAATTTATCAGCTTACCCCAACACACCCAGGTACACATAAATCCACTCCTGGTATTTTAGGAGCTAGGCTAGCTCTGCTATACATGTGATTACCCCAAACCCTAATTTAACACAAAAACAAAATACTGGGAAGAGAAGACTATACAGGATGGACTGAGTTCCATACCCAACACTGAAATAATAATAAATAACTGCACTGTATTCACACCATTTGTGTATGTAAAAAAGAGAGGGGAGGAATTGATAGCTACAGGATGTCTTTGTGGACCCTGAGAGAGATACATAGATAGACAGGTGGGTAAGTATCGAGGGAGATGGGTAGAGAAAGCTAGAGAGATTATGTGAAGGAGAATATCTTAAATGTGCACAGTACTTTACAGTTTATAGTGTCATTAGATCTAGACAGACACAAATACATCTCTAATCCCAGATCCTCCCTTTTATCCTAAGGGTGCTCTCTGGTAGGCTGGGCATCAGGGATCTGTGAGGAGCTGTGTCCTTTGGGCAGAGGATTACTTCTTTATGTCAGAGTCAGAGATCTCCAGGGGGCTCAGTTCAAACCCCTGGGCCTGAAGAATTTCCACAGAGCCCAGGAGATCCTGAGGAGAGGCAGGGTTAGCGTCACCCAGGCCAGATGGAGTTGGAGCACCCTCCGTCCATTTGTAGGCTTTTCTCTTTTCTCCACCCCCCAGGGCAGCCTAGAGCCCTGGCGATTGAAAAGGGAAACGTGGATGCCAGAGGTGCTGGCCACAGAGGGCTGGGGGAGAGTGGTAGGGAGCCTGGGGGCTACTAGGGAAAGGGGACTGGAGCTGCCCAGTGGACTTTAACCTTTGTATTCTCTCCTTTGACAGGAGCTGGGCATTCGAGAAGCAGCAGCCTGATCTGTTTCTGGTGTCATCGTAGGTGGCCACCTTTGGCTTCTGGGGTATTTATTTTCTTGTTGTTTGATGGTGGGGTGGGCTGGGGTGGGGAAACTGACCCTGTATCACCTGTTTTTCTCCCGCATCTCTCCACCCCACTCCTGAATTCTTTTGAGATTCTCTGCAGTAAGTTCTATGTACTGACTGATAATGGAAATGGAACAAGTCGCTGGATGCCACCTTGCATTCAGTTCTGTGACTGAAAGAATAGGCACTGGAGACGTAGGAAACTCGATTCCCCTTCTCCCATAGGCTCAGGAGTGCAGAGATGGAGGCCAGCTGGTCTGGGGGAGGTGATTGGTTGGGGAGGATGTTCATGGATGACAGTAAGAAAGGTTAGACTGAATTAAGAAAGGAGAGGAGTGTGAGGTGGGGTGAATGGGGCCATGGGAGCTTAAGCAACAATGAGTGGGTGTGTGTTCCCAGAATGCACCTGTGAGCCTCAGGAGGTGATTCTGCTGGGAGTCTTTGCCATTGTACTAGGTCTGAGTATGTGTACTGCACAGTACCCTTGCACATACCTGCTTGTGCCCCTTGCGGAGGCCATTAGCTGATGGCTGAGTATCTCATATGTAGAAAAGGCCCCATCTGGATGTCCCAGTCAATCCTTCACCATCTCTGCCATCTTTTTCTCACCTCCCCAATAGCATAGGGCTCTCAGGCAAGTAAGCCAGTGTGTAGGCTCAAGGACAGAACTGGAGCCAGCCAGGGAGGCCGTGCTCAGACAGGCCTGAGGAATTTCCAGGCTGGCCTTTCCACAGCTGGAGAAGGAAGGGAAAAAAAAAGAAAAACACTGTTGTGGAGAGGAGGGTGGTATTCCTCGGGCGAAATCCTCCATATTTTGACTCCACGCATTCTAAGCTTTTATGTTCATATGCACAGACATATACATGCGTACATATTTTTTTTCACACAGCCTCAGCATTTTTTAATTGCCAATGCTATTTGGCATGATCCCATGATCCCGCAAACAATGTAAATATTCTACAGCAAAAGAAAAGTACATGATAATGTTCATAATAATGTGCACTTAATAGACAGAAATAAATATGTGTACACACCTTCCCTCAAATACAGTCTTCATCTTTATCTTCAAGGCAAATTAACCTGGTAATTGAAACAAAAAAAATATATGCTTTTTATTTAATTGCCTGAATATTTCAAGAGAGTGGTTTACTGCCAAATGTATTTTGGGACCCGGATTATAAAGATCTGTCCAAAAGCTGCATCCAGAAAGCATAATTCAGGCCATGTTTTCTCTATATGGGCCTCTCCGGGCACACAGACAATAGGTGGCCAGCTAGGGGCTGGGGATGGGGATAGGCGCTGGCCCAGAAGGCGGGCTCATCAGCACAGGGATCTGGGGTGCTCTCTCCAGAGTCCCCCAGAATGTCCCTGGAAGGTCTCAGGGTGTGGTTCACAGACAGACCGTTGTTCCACAGAACACTCCAGCAGACTGTGCTCTGCACTAGGAGCAGAGGGCTCTGCACCAGCTGAGGCCTGCCTAGGGAGACGGAGACTGGTGGGCCAACCTGAAATGGCACCTAAAGCCCCTATTTTGCTCCAGCTGTTAGCCTTATCTTATCAGTAAAAGGGTCTTCCCTGGTCAATAGAAGTCTGCCATATCTTATCAGTAGAAGGGTCTTCCCTGGTCAAAGAACTGCAGGATAGTCACTAGTCACGAACACACAGCATGATGGACACAATGCCCCCTCCCCCACACCCATACACAAATTCCACAGAACACAACTGATCAATACCCTCACTGATACACCAGCATCCACCATGGTGCACATGACCACATGATGGCAAACCCAGACTTGCAGACACAGGGACCCACACACCTTTACTGGTTTATCAATTACTGCTCCTCCATAAAGCGGTTTTTTGTTTTTTAACCACTGGGGATTGAACCCAGGGCACTTAACCACTGAACCATATCCCCAGCCCTTTTTTAAATACTTTACTTAAATACAGGGGCTTGCTGAGTTGCTTAGGGCCTCCCTAATCTGCTGAGGCGGACTGAACTCTTGCTCCTCCTGCCTCAGCCTCCCAAGTTGCTGGGACTACAGGTGTGCACCACCATGCCTGGTCCTCCACTAAGTTTTTTTGGACTACTCTGCTGAAAGTTTGCCTGCTTTGTCTCCTCCTATAGGATGCCTAAGTCCGAAACTGTCTCTGTCCTTAAGGAGGCTGTTTGCTTTGCCACCTTCAAAGTAGTTTCTTTTTTAAAACTGGTACAACATGGCCCAGGGTACAATCCAATCCCAGTTAAGGTGGCAGTGGGGACTTTTCTGCTTCTTTCCTGGTTAATAGCGCTGTCCCCATTGGAATAAAGACAGCTGATGATCCACTAGTTTGCATCTCTGTACAGGAGCGGTGGGAGGTGGGGCTGTCCAGTACACCCAGATAAAACCAAACCCAAATATCTGGAAAGAGGTGGGGTTCCAAGTGGATAATGCCAGGGTGATTTAAACCAAGTTCCATTTTCTTTGTGGGGAGGGTTGTCAATTCCTTAATCTGGACCCTGTTTGGATTGAACTACCTCTGTAGAACTCAAAGCCACAGTAAGAGGCAGGAGGGTATTGCTACTTGGGGGAATTTTGATGTACATATTTTCAGGAGTTAGCTAAATGTATCCATTGTCCTTTTTTGGCAGGGCAGGGGACTACCAGGGATTGAATTCAGGGACACTCGGCCACTGAGCCACATCCCCAGCCCTATTTTGTATTTTATTTAGAGTCAGGGTCTCATTGAGTTGCTTAGCGATTTTGCTGGGGTTGGCTTTGAACTTGTGATCCTCCTGCCTCAGCCTCCTGAGCCACTGGGATTACAGGTGTGTGCCACTGAGCCTGAATCCATTCTCTTTTGATGTTGATTTTTGAGGAAGTCCAGCTGAGTCTGAATTTGGCCAGTAGGGATGAAGGTACAGGAGTCTCCACTGTGCAAAGAAAGCTTTGTTGTTCTCTCCCATTTCCAACAACAAACCAGGGGTGGCTGAAAGAGGGGAGAGCTTAACTAATCCTGGCTGACTATTTCCATACATCCGAAAGGTCCAAGCCAGGGAAAGAGTTGGTGGAGATTAGCTTGATGCCACAGATGACGGGTTACATTGGTGAAAATTGGTGGGTGAGGAAAAGGGGACAATTTTAGTTAGCTGGACGACTCGCTGTTTCTCCATAAGCTGGTCTCAATCTCCCAGAGCTGGAGAAATGGAGGAAGGAAGGGAGAAAGGTTTGCTTACCTGCCCTCAAGGGATTTTATGGGAGGGTAAATGGGGGATACTTGTTGGGGGAGTTGGTAGAGTGTCTGGAGAACTGCAGGCCCTACTTAGAATGTCTGGAATGGCTGCAGAGGAGGAGGCATCCTGTAAAGGGATGTGAGGTGGTGTGCTGGCAAATCTTTGAGGGTGTTGTGGGCATAGAGAAGAAAGGCCAGAAGGGCTGTGGTTTCTCTGGCGCCCCAATGAGATGCATTTGGGGACTGTATTGCAGCATGCTGGTAGGTCGGTCTGTCTGTGAGAATATTTGGGAAGCATTTCCTTTTTCTGCAACTGTAATTCGGCCCCAGGAACCCCAAGGCTCCCCACCCTGTGTACTCCATTCTGAGTTGTAAGGGGGCAGGAGGAGACAATGTGAGGAATGGACACTTTGTCTCTGTTTGCTTCTTTACACCCTCCCTGTCCACTTTGTGCTCCCAGTTCTGGAAGGATGAAGTATTGCTGCCCTGGAAGCTTCCAGATAAGCCTTTCCCTTGGGTAAGGGCCTTGAGACCCTGGGGAGGCTGACAGAAAAAACGCTGTGCCAGCCCCCCCACCCCAGAATGCCCTGGGGAAATCAAGCCATTTGCTTCAGCTTCATACTACCATTCTGGGTTGCTGGACTTTATCCCATTTCAGTCTGCCCTGGACCCCACAGTCTTGCTGCCCACATCAATGGCAGTGATTATTTAGATACCCACCGTTCTTTGAAGGAAGCACCAAGTTCAATCCATTGTCCATCAGTTTGTGTTTAACGACAGAGAACAGGGTTCAGGCTTGGCTTTGTTCCCGTCTGTGCAACCCTCAGATAAAACAATCTGAGCAGGTCTGACCTACAATCAGTGGTGCTTGGAGTGCTCCCCTGGTGACCTAGTGTTCAAGGATCCCTGGTTATAGAAGCTGGCCCGGGTGAATCAGACCAATAGGCTCCAGGTATCTGAGCCAGTCTCTTAGCAGAGCTCCCTAGAGGAGGGTGAGTGGAAGGGCGGAGTGCACTGCGGGGATTCCGATTGCTTCCTGCCGGCATCCCGGTTCTTGGGGGCTCGCTGGTTCAGAAAGCTCTCTGAAGCCGGCCTCTTGCCGGTTGGCGGCTGTGTACCAGCCAAGATCTGGTTCTGATTCTCCAATCCAGGTTGAACCTGGAATGTCCCGCTGGGCCAGATGGGGAGCCAGGTTGGAAAGTTGGGACCTGAGCCTTTGTGGGCGTTCTTCCTCCTCAAGCCCCAGAGCTGGTGTGGTGGAGGCCTGAGCAGAACTGGAGGTTAGAGTGCACGGGTGCCAAAAGGGAAACCTAGCCTTAATAGGACCCCCACGGCTAGGCCTAATTCTGCGGGGTTTTCCCAGGCTAAAGTCAGCGGGGATCTTCACCCCCAGACTCCCCTACCTGGAACTTCGGTGCTGTGAATAGGCTCAAGAGATATTCCCATTTCTGCCAAGGCCGAAAGGAGATTTGGCTTCGCTTAGAACCCCGTGTCTTCCAGCGGGAGTTCCAAAGCCCCAGAATCTTTCCCTCACTGTTTGGGGTTGAAAACCGACGACAGAGGTTCCTGTCCATACTGAATATTAGAATCACAGTTTGGGAAGGATCAGAACCTGAGAAGCACAAAGAATACTCTGTTGGGAGGAGGCGGGGAAGGGTAGAGCCTCTAGTCATCCGGTTCTTTTCAAGGGGATTTCACCGGATCTCTTTTTTGTCTCTGCGCGTTGGTCCTAGAGCCCCATACTCTACCACCAAAATGGAAAATG